CCTCCCAGCCATCTTTTTCACCAACCAGCAGCCACCAGCTCAGTGGGTATTTGGATTGCCTGTCGGGTGGAAAATGCAGGGGGAGTGGGTGGTGTACAGGGGGTTGCGGTTTGGCGCATGATAGTAGCTAATATGCTGCAAAGGATAAGGCGCCCACGCGGAGAGGCAGGTCACCATGGGCTTCCCAGAATGATGAAAATCAATAGAATGAACTCGAATTTATTCCCAAACATTTGCTAAGAGGATTACAAATATTCTGAAAGGATTTTAAGACTTTACTGAATATAAAAAAGCGGAAAGGAAGGGGAATTTATCACATGTTATAGATCTTTCAGGTTTCAGACAGATGCTTAAACAAGAATTTAAAGTTAGAAGACTGCGATGAGGATAGGTAAAATAATGACATTCCAAAATAGGTTTCCAATCTTAGTACTTTTTCATGAAAATATACTTTTATTTCCTATGTAAGACCCACAGATTTCCCACAGTGCCCAAGCTAAGAAAAACGCGTAGCCCACAGAGCAGAGAAAAGCCAACATCGCACCGTTCCGATCCCAGGCCCGAAGGCAAGACTTGTGGGCCGGGTCGGGATTGGAGTGTTAGTGCTAGTGTTATTTACCAGGCTAAATTATTAAACGATTGTTAAACGAGCGGATAAAGGATGAGCGTGAATGATGATGATGATGCTGCTGCTGCTGGTCGGGGAGGGAAAAGGAAAATGGCAAGGGGGGCAGGCTGACAAGAGGGTGTAAAGTCCTGGCAACGGCAAAAATTCTAGAGGAAGAGAAGGGAGCTACTGCCTTGTTAGCTTGCCAGCTGAAGGGGAAATTTGATATTAGGTAAATTTATTTGATTTACATTTTTATGGGCCAACCGTTGGGCGCTCAGGGTGGGTGGATAATTCCGAGTTGGGTGGAGTTCTCCCTGTTGTTTGCCAACGTCGTCGGTCGTCGTCGTCCTGCGCTTATCTCACATAATGCCGGCAATGAAGATAAGAACCTGTCTAGGGTGGGAATAATGCGGTGCACACCGCTTCCAATGGAATAAATAGAATAAATAGAGTAAATACAAAATGAATTAATAAAAATGGCAGCAAAAAATAATAATCATAAACGAGTTTCGGGACGCACGACCAGCTTTTTTTAGACGTGCACAGGGAAAAATATTGCTTGTAAATAAAACTATTAATTGGAATTTGTTATGTTCTCAATAAATTAACCATTTCATGAGTTTATGGTAAGTCACTGAGTAGGAAATGGGTTTCCCTATGGAAATATGTAGTTGGTGATCAAATAAAGTGGTGTTAAGATATCTATATATGTTCTAACTCTTAATTTATATATTAAAGATCGATTTTGTACATGATATTAACAGCCAAGTAGTGATCTATTCTGGGTAATTATTTTCTGGCTGTGCCATTATTTCCCATAAGCAAAGTGGCTGAAAATAAAAAATGAAAAGCGAGCAGGACAGCGCTGTCAATCAACCACCCACCGAATCCACCCAACGAAGGCAATCAGTGCCAAATCAGAACTTTATTTATTTGCTTGTTGTTTGCCAAACATTTACGCCATCAGCAAAACGACACCCGAGAGCTCGTTAAATGCTCAGCCATGCGGATGTAATTCAATAAACGAGCGTTGTGCGCCATCATCAACACCCCATCGTTTAGTAGTGTGTGTGTGTGTGTGTATGTACCACATAGCCTCTGTGTTAGTGTGTGTGTGAGGCAGCCGCAATTGCCACAACAGCCGCTGTGACTAAATGACTGACTGACAACCGCAGGACCTTGCAAGGGGGATGGTTTATTTACTCGCCAAACAACCCCTCAAAAAGCATCCCCAACCATTCCCATTCCCATTCTCATTCTCATCTCGTCCTCTGCAATAACGTTTATTGAGCAGAGAGTTTCGCAACAGCCTCGTCCTCGCCGCTGTCCTTCGTCGTTCGGAAATTTCTGAACTGTCAACATGTCAACTGTTTGTTGGTCGGAAAGGTTGATTCAGCCATGGGGTGGGTGGCTCTTTGGCTCTTTTGCTTTTTCGGCCTGTTTAAGCGATTTAACGCATCGCAAGGATAATGAAATTTTGATTATGCGCCGCTTGGCTGGTTGTCCTGGCGCTGTGCCGCCCTCTGCTGGGTCGCTATGAAATTAGCGTCATTTAGAGGTCCTTTGAAAAGTTTAGGCATGGGATTAAGTTCGTGGAGCTGCTAATTATCGTTGGAAAAGGGTGGCTTGGCATCCAAAAATTATTCAATTAAAGAAGTTACTTAAATTTAAATTTTAAATTTTAGCATGATAGATAAGTTTAAAAAAATAAATAAACTCGCATCATAATCAATTTTCTGACTCGGTAATTGCTCACTCTCGGATACAGACAATTATACAATCCAATTCTGAATTAATTGCACAATAAAACACCAAATTCTCATTTAATTGCCGGACAAAAAAGCACACGAAGCCCGAGTGGCAACATAAATATGCAACACCCACATGCACACACGCCCACTCAATTATGGCTAACTATACCCCTCCTTCTACGCCATAGCTTCTAAAATCAAACTGGAATCGGTCGGCGGGAAATATAAATTCGAAAAATTATGAAAAACTATCAAAACATTTACATACGTCCGGGGGAGGAGGGAACGAGAAAAAAAAGCGACTTGCTCTTTTCGATCCACGCACTTAGTGGTGTCTAGTTGGGGCTTAAGTAGCCAGATCTGGCTAGTTTGGAATTATGATATAAAAAATTATTCTCACTCTTACCTATTTATTTTCTTAGATTTACTCGTATAGATGCTAAATGGGAAGTTCAATAAATTTACTTCGAAAGAGTTAGATTTCCTTCCAATGATCACAAGAACTCTTCATTTATTCATTTATCTTATTTATTTAATGACACAAATTATTTAATAAGATTTTTTCTCTCCTAGTTTTAGCTAGTTTTTGTAAACTACCAGCATAGCCGTCATCACTGCACGCAACCAAATCGGCGGCCATTTATCAATTGACCAACTTGGCCGAAGCGTGGACCTTTGTTGGTGCTCTTGTTATTGGCCGACTTGCTGCTGCTTTGGCCGGTTTCGTTTCATCTCGACTTCTTGGTCAAATAGGGGGGTGCGAAGTGGGCTGGAGCTTACTTATGATGTTTATTGAAAAATTAATTTGCGCCTCGTTTTTGTATCTCTTTTTTTTCGGCTCTCATTTGCGTATTTCAAAGCGCAATGAATAATGATGGTGGTTAAGTAGGGGAAAATAAAAGAAACGCTCGACGTGCTTGGCCTGAGAAATTAATATTTGTAATTGGCTATAATTGTTTATGCCAACGGCACAAAAGTCTAGAAAATGAGACGCAGACAATGATATTAATGAGCTGAGGGGCATCGCATCGCAGCGCGTTTAGCTGCCATTTCGAAATGTTTAATTGAAAAGAAAGCCGAGTTGCTGGGCCTCGCATAATGAAGTGCTCAAGTTTGGGAAGTGGGAAATGAGTTTAATCAGCGAAGGGGCATTGGAAAAGAGCCAAGAGATATATCAAGTGTTAATTGAATGGCTGGGAAATGTGTGAAGTTTATAAATGGGTTTATGGCGGGGGTTTTCTTTTAAGTTGAATTAAAAATAATGACAGAGAATGTTAAGGTGCTCTTAGATCAGAGATATCTTTGATAATTTAATTTGATAAAAATTCTGTAATCATATCAGATCCGTTAGTTTTAAGCCCCCGAAACGTGCCACATATAAGATCGTTTGCAACTAATTAAGGCAACCACACAGTCATTCGTCAACTGTTCTAATTGAGCTCTTTATTTCCCCCCACTGGCAATTGCCATTAAAATCCTTTCACCGACTTGCCGCCCGAAAAGCCAAGGGAAACCCCCCAACCATTCACACAATCCACTTTCCCATTTCCCCAAGTTGGTCCTTCGAGGCGGGGAAAACAAAGGAGTAGCCGAACAATGTCTGGCAAAACTTTTCAAGCCAACAATTTCACATAATAATCCTTAAAATGAGTTTAATTTGTAGAGGGAAAATTATAAACAGAGTGGGAAGGAGAGAGGGCTCTTCTTCTCTTTCTCTCTCGCTCTTATGCAATTTATGGAGGATGATGAAATTCTATATAATCCTGAATATTTCACATTTATATGAATGTGATTGATTTGGCCAGGGTTCCAGGTTCCAGGGACTCTCGATTTATGTGGCCCGATACGATTTTTATGGCTTATCTTCTGAGGCGGAGCAGAAAGGAAGAAAAAACATAATTTCCTGGCCGAGATGGCAGCTTTGCGATAACGCTACTCCGCCTGTCGTTTGACGATTTTCGGGTCCTGATAATGATGGGCTTATTATTTATTATATTGTTTATGTTCGCCGAGGATATGTAGAGGAGTACCAATTAAATTCAGAACCCTCAAGTCTATGTATATAGATTGCATATATAAAGCTTAAAAAATCACGGCAATTTGGGCAAATGAAGTCGTAAAAGATAGAGAGGGAAAACGCGAGGGCGAGGAAAAGCCAGAAAACCAAAGTGGAAATGGACGAGCGTTTGCCGCCGCTGCTTGTTATAAAATGCTAATACGCGCAGCAGCTCGAAAAAAGTGGAAAAACGCTTTGAAGATTGAATTATTCAATAATAATTAGGCGTGCGAGCGGGATGGCCGTACTCTAGGGGCTAGCCTACCATCTCCTTCTAGTGAAAGAGTCTTCGAAACTCACCACACTGAAGCGAGAGCGAAAGAGAAAAGAAGGCGGTACAAAAGTCTGAAAAGTGGAGAAACACAAAACTCACGGAATAAAAAAGAAAGAGAGCGAGCTAGTCTCGAAACCAATAAAAATGGTGTCGTACCACAGGGCGTATGGCACGGGAGAGAAAGAGAGGCAGACTTTGCACAGCCGGTTTTCCACCACCAATCTGTCGGGTGCCTCAGTATTGGTGAGTATCTGTGTCCGAGGCAGCGGTGCATCCGAAATCGCGACTATAGTTTCAGTCGCAGAACAGACGTGATCTCAAGAGGACGTGTCTCTCTCTCTGGAAGATTTAAACACATATATCTCTGGAAAATATCAAACGCCGCGTGTGTGACAGTGTGTGTGTGTTGGATCTTAACGCGTGTGATGAACGAGCGCATTAATTAAGCGATAATCAAAACAAATTAACATCGGGACATGTCTCAATGAAACACTAAACTGACGGATTAAAAGCAAAGTTTTTCGAGGAAAAGCCAAACAAACTATCGAAAAAGGCTTTATGTTAAAGCTCAGCCCAGCGAGCATGACAGTTACAGGTCTGCGCCAGACGATGACCAGCCCCACGGTGCCGCCAAGCAGCAACACACCCGCGGGCAACATCAGCAGCAGCAACAGCAGCAGCAGCAGCAACATGAGCGGCAGCAACATGACCAGCAGCAACATCACCAACCTGAGTCCCAATCACCCGGCCGGCCTAAATCCCCTGGCCAGTCCCACCTCGCCGTCGGCACTGCTGCTGGCCCACCAGCAACATCTGCTGCAGCAGCACCATCAACACCAGCAGCAACAGCAGCAGCAGCAACAGCAGCAACAAGCGGCCCTCCAGCTGGCTGCAGTGCATCCGCCGGCCCATCATCTCCACAAGACCACCTCCCGACTGAGCAACTTTAGCGTGGCCTCTCTGCTGGCGGATACAAGGCCCAGAACGCCATCGAATCAGCCGGCGGATGGACCCCAAAACCTCACCAGTTCGGCGGCTACGTCACCCATTTCTCAGGCCAGCAGCACACCGCCTCCGCCGGCGACTCCGGCCGCCCAAGTTCCCGCCAACACCTTCCATCCCGCCGCTGTGGCGCACCACGCCCACTTGCTGCAGGCCGCCCACGCGGCAGCAGCGGCACATGCCCAACACCAGGCGATGGCCGCCCAACTGAGGCAGCAGCAACAGCAAGCCGATGCCCGGGCCAATTCTCCACCCGCCTCCACGAGCTCCACGCCCAGTTCCACGCCTTTGGGATCGGGACAGGGCTCTCAAGGAAACGTAGCCTCCATTCCCGCCAAAAACGAACGTCATTCGCCTTTGGGCAGTCACACGGACTCGGAATTGGAGTACGATGAGGAGTTGATGGCGGATCATGATGGCGATCATGACGAGGAAGAGGACTCCATTGTGGATATCGAGGACATGAATGCGGACGACTCGCCGCGATCTACACCCGATGGCCTGGATGGCAGTGGCAAGCTAATGGAATCTCCACATGGACCGCCGCCGGGCTCGCACATGCCCTCTACGATACTTTCGCCGGCGGCCCTGGCCTCCGGTCATGTGCCCATCCGGCCGACTCCCTTCAGTGCTTTGGCCGCCGCGGCTGTGGCCTGGACGGGAATGGGAGCCGGAGTTCCGTGGCCAGGAGCCAGACAAATGGCGCCCTTCGGACCCCCGGGAATGTTTCCGGGAGCAGGATTCGGTGGAGGTAAGTGTCGTTTTCTAGTATTTTACCTTTGCTAAGTAGGGTTTTGTTGAGGCCTTGTTTTTGTACTTCCTATAGAGGAAATGATAAACCTTATCTTTTACAAGTGCTTAGTTTGTATATAGAAGGGGATACTAAGGAGTTTTGAAGGCAAAGGCAGAGTTGGGTTAGGTTAAAGGATTACCTTGGTCGTGTATTCGTGAAAAGTATCAGAAAGGAAAGTCTGGATGTAAAAAGAACATTAAAATATATTTACTCTTCGCTCTGCCGAATATTAATTTAAATATTGTTTTAACCTGCGAACAATAGAATTTCGTAAATTGCGGTAAAGAGCAAATTCCCCATTAGCAACCAGCCAGAGAGACGTATTCGAAAACGATTTATTTAATGGAGGAATTCGCTGGGTACTCTCTTTACGCCACCCCCATTGTTTTATGTCCCATTCGCGGTGGCAACTTTATCTACACCATTTTGTGTCGCATTTTAATTCAATTAACTGCTGCCCCTCGCCTTAATTGGCGATGGTGATTCTCCTCCCGACGAACTCGAACTGCGGGTGCTCCATCATGGCCACCACGTCGTCATCATCGTCATCATGGCGATGAAATGAATATGATCGTGACTGCAGTTTTTGTAGTCAAAGTGCGTGGCAATTATTGCGGGGCCTTAAATAAAACAATGAAATATGCCTGATTGCTGGGCCCATTATTTGATGATGATGATGATGATGATGATGACGAGGAGGAGGATGATAGTGGATGGAGCGTCGCGTCGGTTTTGATTTGACTCAATTGGACACGTCTGATTATTCATTGCACTCGGTGACCACCGCCGTTTTTCGGTGTTTTCCGGTCTGACAGCCAGCCCCCTTCTATCGTCCGAAAATCTAATAATAAACGCATAAAAACCGGACTGTCTAACCGACTGGCCAGACTAATTGAAGCGAGTCTGGCGGGTTAACTGGGCGATCTCTATCTGCATGCACAGTTCACACTTTGCCTGCATTTCCTGGACAAAAAAGCTGCAGGGAAAACCGTAGGGAAACCCAAGGAAAACACTCGCCAAGTCACACTTTGATGCCGGACTGACATGTGAACTTTACTCGGCCATCGCGAACTTTGCGTTTCCGCTTTTTAAAGTTGCTCAAGTCCTCGAAAAAAAACTCAAGGAAGGGCGTTGCAAAAAAATCGGCAAAGGTAAAAAAGTGTAAATTTGCTTTTTATATGCAGGCCAGCAACTATTGTTCCTGTTTTTGTGTGTTTTTGGTTTTTTGTGCCCGCCCAAGGCATTGTTTTATAAAGCTGTCGGTTTGCTGGAAAAGCGGGAGTCTTAGGTTATGGATTTCCCATTTTCATATTTCGAAACCAACTTACATCATAGCTGGCAGTTAGCAATGTGAGATACTCAATGATAGGGCTGCTAAAGAACTTGAAAAATCGAAATAAATCAATCTCGATGTGGCCCATCAATTCCCTGGCCTTCATCAGCCACTTGAGCTATCTTTTGTACCTCCCCATAAAGAGGCCATGCAGACAGGCCGAGATGAATAAACTATTCCAAACATTTGCCGCTTATTTTGTCATTTAGCTGTCAACCGCTGCATGTGTATAAAATACAGTCGAACAACTTCATTTCGTTTCATTTGGCAGCTGTTTTTCTGTCTTCGGTTTCAGTTTCAGTTTCTGGTTCCTGTATTCAGCGTGTCTCATTAGCGCAGCAGGTTGCTGTCTTTTGTCGACTGATGATCCCCTGTTTTCCAGCGGGCTTCCTTCTGACCTGCGCCGCTATCTTTGCGGCATTATGTCAAGTGTTAGGTACTTAGTGCCTTTACGAACTGCAGATAGAGGTTGTATCGTATCTCAGGGCTACCGTTTGTCGGCTCTTTCATGGACTATTAAGTTAAACTACCTCCGATTAGGCTAAGGGAAAACACACACGTTGAAGGTGGTCTTGAGTTTCCTCCTTTTCCGTGGCCCATTTGATTAACATTTTCGTGTTGCAATATGCGGAATTCCCTTTTGTGCCTTCATAATTTAACTAATTGCAAGCGCAGTCAAGTCACGTATAGTGCACATGCCACCCATTTTTTCTGCCCCTTTCCGTCACCCTTTTAACCCCTCGCTGGCCCCTCTTATCCAACCACCACGCATTGCAGCTGCAATTCTTGGCAGCCATTATAGAAATTAATTTTCAAGCTGAACAAACGAGCAACAACTTGGGAGTCATTGCATAAATACATAGAGGAAAACAAACACATATACAACTTTTTATTGCCAAGAGCGTGAGAGAGAGATGGGGAGAAAACCTGGCCAAAACGGTGGGTGTGGCATGTCAGCAACGCCCACCCGAAACACGCAATTTTCAACAGCCCCGGCAGCAATTTAAACGTTGACAGACGGCTGCTGGTTGGCGAAAGGCGAGAAGAGGGTTAAAGAAGACCAGTGGCAGCGGTTGAGTGTTAAGAGCGGGGGGGCCGAGATGGAGGGGCTAAGGAGGCCGTTTGCATGCGTTTTAACACCATTTGCAAGGCTCCAAGCCGAGAGAGTCAAAAGCTAAAATAATATTTGCATTCTGCACGCCATCTAACGTGCATAAGCTGTACTAAATACACACATGCAACGCACGGACATGGCCTGAGGGGGCGGTTGGGGCTCAGGGGGCTGAGCAGGGGGCGTGTGGCGGCGCAGACATTTTGATGTATGTTTTGGTAAATAAAATTTATTTGCATTAAATTACCAAGCCAGACAAAGAGAAGGTGATGTGAGGTTGATGGTGATGGTGATCGTAATGGTACTGGTGATGGCATGGGCTAAGCATGAGGGGCATGGGGGTGTTAAAGAGGGGCTGCCACTGCAAGGTGTATGTGTGTGTATCTGTGAAGTTGAGAAAACATTTGCTAAATATTTGTAGACAATTGGTAGTTCAACTAATTTGAGCTGCTTGCTGTTGGATGTTGCTGCTGTGCCTGCTGATGTTGCTGCCGTTGTCGTTGCTGCTGTTGGTGTTGCTGCTGCTGTGCACCTGAGTAATTAAATAGCATTTGGAACCTGTCATAAGAGGCAGCCCAACCCACGGGCTATCTGAGCACTCTTATCTTGCCCAGAGGCAGCGAACTTCATTGCAAAACAGTCTAAATAGATATATGGCCAGCACGCAATGTGACAAGATTTCCAAAGAGTTGCCAGTGGGCAGTGCAAGTGCACTGAGAGAAATGTATAGCTATTACATACTATCTTTGCATTAAATGAGTTTAGATGTTATCAGCTTAATGGTAACCCTGATTATTAGTGTTAATCCTGGTTTTATAATCTTTTCTTTCCCTTAAACCTTAATATTCTCATTCTTAAGACACATTTCTCTCCTGTGTAAACTTATCTAAGCCAACTGGTTATTAACACGCTCCTGGCTAATTAATTGACTCGTTTAACCGGTGTTAGGGCCTTGGGCAAAGTTAATAATTATCTCAACTCCTTTCGCCCAGGACATTCCCTTTTAATTAGCAGCTTAATCATTCATTTAGCCGGTAAACACCTATTTGGAGCTAATTAAAATCCCTCATTATGAAATCGGCCTGAGGTCCCAAAGCGGTTGCCGTTTTGACCGTAAGCGTGTAATTGCATTAGCCATCCGGCCAGCGATCTGGCCATTTGTTTTGCACATCCATTCCAATCCTCGGACCATATTGCCCAACGGTTTTCACTGCAAAAACGCTGCTCCACTCGCTGGCTGGCTCGATCGCTGGATGGTGCTATGCGAAAACGCTTTAATGAAGAATTAATTGCCAGCAATTTGCACCGCAAATCAATCGAGCGTTGTCACCGTCGGCTATATAAAGCGATTGCTTTGGATATTTGGTATGGGTATTGCTGCTGCTCCAAACGATACGCGTAAATTTCACAATTGCTTGTTGCCTGTCTCATTTGCTGTTGCTGTTGCTGCTGCTGTTGCTGTTGTTGCACGATGCTCTTATACGACGTCTCGTCTACAATACACCGGAGAACTCAAATTAATTGAAAATCCATTACAAACATAGGCTAAATGTCACAATTGGCGTTTGTGGCATGTATTTGCGCTGGCAATGGCGATGCTGGCGACGTATTGCCCCAGCAGCAACATCGCAGCAGCAGCAGCAACAGCAGCAGCAGCAGCAACAATGCCTATAAAAGAGCAAAAAGGCGAAAACAAGTCTCGCACTTTGGTTTCAACGTGCGTCTCTCTCGCTCCCCCTGGGGTCTTGAGTTTTTCCGCAGGTTTTGCAACAGGCCAAAGGCATTCGGTGGGCGGGGCAGCGGCAGTGGGGGCCGGGAAAATCCAGCTCACTTGCAATGGAAACCCCATTCCAGCAATTTAGCGACAAATGAGCAATTAATTTTGAAATAAATGTAAAGCAAACTGAAACGAAAAGCAGGCAAGATTGCAGCGAGATACGGCATATAAATAATGGAAATCTGTGCAGGGATTTATTTTTTAATAAATATTTTGGTAAATATAAATAAAGAAACTACAAGCAACTTACAACCAAGTTGCGTCCATAAATTGCAGATCAATATTAAACCCAGGCCGTGTATAAATATTATTGTAAAGAAGAAATCGTTAAAGCCAAAAGACCAACCTGTGACAAAAGCCAAAAAGGGCTGTAAAAGTTTGACCGCCTCGTTTATATGCTAATTTGGCAACTAATTTATGGCCAATACGACAAGAGCGACAACAAAATACCAAACAAGACAAAACAAAATCAAAACTTCACACGGAATGCCAGCTGACTAAGAAATCGAGGCGAACTATATATATCTATATATGTTTATATATATTTATATTTATATTTATAGAGGCCGCGTCGCGGAGTCTGTTACAAATTTTGTGAATGCAGCCCAGCATCTTCATTATAAAGTCGGGAATCATCCGATTCTGGTGGCTTTATCGGGAGTGTTCACATTTAGTTTCACCTTGTTAGGGGCCATCCGAGAGGCTTTTACGACCTGCAGCAGTCCAGAAACTGTGGCTCACAAATAAGTGAAATTATATGCATATCGGCCATATCGATAAGGCCGGGGCATTAACATAACTCCGGCATGTCGCACTAATTACTTAATGAGCCAGTCAGCCAGTTAGCCAGTCAGTTCGGGTTCCCCTGTAAGCTAACTTGATTATTAGTTTTGATTCCATCGAGAGTTGGATCTTTATGGTCTTCTGGCTGCCCGAGCGACATTTATTTGTTTATCGAAAACATAACATTAAAGAAATGTGTGTGAACAGATCGAAGTTTTAGCTTGAGATAGGTAGGGAATAGGAATTACACAGAAAGAGAACTACATTTGAGGATGAATCTTAAGGATTTAGGCAACTGGATTTCATTTTAAAACTATTTCTTCTATATTTTCTTCAAATGAGTTGTTTTCACATCACTTTTTGTACATTATATATATATTATTTTGACATATTCATAGTCAGCCCTTCTGTTATTGTTGTTTAATGCATCGTTGGCCATCTGCAGAGCAGAAAAAGCAATTACAAAAGCATGCAACTTGGCCACGTTTGTCACTCGGCAATTTCAATTTGTGCAATTATGCGTAAAATTAAAGCGCTGCATATCATTTGCATTTGTCTTTATTTTGATTCGAGGGCTGCCTGTGTTCTCCCTGAAAACAAAATGCCCAATAAATTACGCGTGCCTTTGAGGAAGATGTGTGGATCTCGGGAGGAGTCGGGGCCGGGGGATTGGCCATGGAGATCTGACCCGGACTGACTGCATCTTTAAAATGCCATTTGCATCTTTGTGGTTTTGGCGCAGCCCCGATGGCAAGCTCATTACTTTCATTAACAACACTCCCGGCATGCAACTCGCAACTTGCAGCTTGCAACAGCTGCTGCTGCAGGCCCCCTTCTCCACGGATCGGCCGTCTTTATAAGGCCTGCACGTTTCTTTTTGCTTTGTATTTTCCTTTTTTTTTTGTCTTTTCCTTCTCCTGGTGCCTTTGTTTGCCAAAACAAAATGCCCAAATTAAAATTGTTTTGCTGTGCAGAGAATCGAACTGAGATATTGGTGGGGGCAAGCTGCGAGCTGTAAGAGGAGGAGGCTGGCCATTCGGGAGGGGATTCACTCGGGGAATGCATTTCCCGTCGCTACTGCTGCTGCTTTGTCTGACAAATAGTTTAGACAGCAAATTTATTGGCCACTTAAAGGAGTAATTACCGTATATTGTTGCCGCTGCTGCCGTTGCCGCTTTTAGCCAAATTGACAAGGCCAAGGACAGCGGCAGTTGACAGCACATTTCATTCAGCAAGCTGCTCGACTTTGCATGTTTAATGGTACAGTGGGGGCCCCTTTAAGAAAAACTCAAGTAAAGTGTTTCTAAAGAGATTTTAGCTTTAGATTAGTAAATCACTTTACCAAAGTTTATTGAGAATCTTCCCAAAAGGGACAATCAGTCAAACAGATAACTAATCAAGACTTTTTCTATCTATTTTCCAGATGCCAACGAACCCCCTCGGATCAAGTGCAACTTGCGGAAACACAAGCCCAACCGGAAGCCCCGCACTCCCTTCACAACACAGCAGCTGCTCTCGCTGGAGAAGAAGTTCCGGGAGAAGCAGTACCTGAGCATCGCCGAGCGGGCGGAGTTCTCCTCGTCGCTCCGGCTGACGGAGACCCAAGTGAAGATCTGGTTCCAGAACCGAAGGGCCAAGGCCAAGCGCCTGCAGGAGGCGGAGATCGAGAAGATCAAGATGGCGGCCTTGGGTAGGGGAGCGCCGGGCGCCCAGTGGGCCAATGGCCGGGTACTTCCACCCGAGTCTGATGCACCTGGGATAAGTGGCGGCCCAGTTGGTGGGCCACGATAGCCATCAGGTGCGCCACCAACGCCCAATGAGCCATAGTCCCCATCATCATCCTCATCCTGGTAACCAAATAGCCGCTGGCGCCGGTCCTCGAGCGGAAACCCCCAAAATTTTGCTGTGATGTTAGCGCATTTTACGTTACGATACTTCCAAATGTTGTTTCAAATGCACGCCCTGTAAATAGGTATAAGGAGTCGAGAGAAGCACCCGATCTAGCCGATCGGATCTTGTATATAGCGAGAGCAAAAGCAGAAATATGTTTCCTAATTGTACATAAAACTAGCAAGTAAACCCAATCAATTATTATGAAAAGGAAGAACCTTCGTTCGTTTGTTTCGTGTAATCAGTTGACAAAGCGTAATTGAACGTAATTTATTTGCCCAACTCAAGTCAATAAGCGTAAAAAGAAGATTAACTAAATTCAGATTTCAGATTTCAGATTGTATTGTATTTTGCAAGGTAGGAGTAAGTCAGTCTAGCTAATGGATCGATCGTGTATTTAAAAAATACTTCTAAGCATCTAAACTAAACTAATCTAAAGCTATAACTATGCCGTTAAAGTACTTTACGATAATACCACAGACCTATACATATAGTTCATACTGCATACTATATATTATGAATACCATATAGCGTTAATCCTCTGTAGTTGTTTAATCATAAATCATTGAAGACAAAATGTGAAAAAATAATACAAAAACAAGCTAAAAGAGCGCAACAAAAATCATGCAAAAATCATTGAAAAAAATATATAATTATACAAAAAAAAATTTATACTAATTGTTGTTATTTTATTTATGGGTGGTGAAACGTTTTTCAAAGGAAACAAGATTATTTTTATAACTTAATCTACAAGTTGTGAGTCAGTTAATGATTTCACCATAGCTAAAAAATTATTCTAAGAGTATTTAAATACTTTTACTGATAAGAAAACTCCTATATCTATTAGTTTCTTAGAAGGAGAAGAAACTCTATTAACAACTTTATTTTCTTTACAACAAAGTATCTCATTGAGGCTTATGCTGACTAAGTGGATGCTTTCCGTTCTATACAACCTCATAAAATGCCAGGAAAACAATATTTTGTTTTGACTAGAACTAAAAGTGTTATTTTCAACGGACTGATTACATAACATAGCTGCCATATGCTGTAATATGCTGGCATTGCGAAACCATTTCGAATCGAGAATGGGAATGGAAAATAGTGAAAAACAATTACCGCGGCGAATTGATAAAGGGAAATTCTCCAGGAAATACTAGCAGGTTACGAAACTACTAGCAGCAATCAATATTCGCGTGAAATTGGAACAATCCCGCTGGCACCGTCACAGCCAATGAAACAAACTAATATAAACTAAGTTCAGGCGATGGTCATGGACACTTCACAAATTCATCGTAACTCATTAGCGGCTCTCGAGAATCACCCGGTGGATTCCATATCACCAGAGACGATCGTGTATGATGGGAGAAGCGATGGAGCATCCTTATCGGCTGGCAATTAATATTTAATTAATCAGGCAATCGGTTGCCGAGCCAGCTCAGCTGGCCCACATGGCGTATACGTATTGCTATCAACTCGCTCTTCATTCGACAAAATATATGTATATAGCGAGAGGTTATAGTGGCAATCGGCGAATTAAGATTGCAATTGAGTGATTATCAAATTGTTTGCATTATAATTTTTATTCCTGCGCGATTTGTCGAGTGTCAGGCGGGTTCAATACCGAATACGTTTTATTTTTTTTTTTCATTTTCTTTATTTGTTGTTGACAGTTGGCCGAGCGTCAATAGCAGCGGCTCCGAGCGCTCCTTATCGCCTGGAATTAAAACCCAATTAATTTAATTACAAATGGAAATAACACGCCGCCGGCGCAGCAGCAGCGGGCAACACGTCAAATAATTTAGCTATTTTGATTTATTTACGAATGGCACTCAGGCACCCAGGCTCCACGCAGATCTGTGCCGGTGTATTGGTGCGTGTGTGCTCAATAAATAAATTAAAATTCAAATATTATTTGCCACTTTCTGACTGATAAGGAAAATTTCCGAAAGCTTTGCGCTCTCTCTCTCTCTCTCTCTCTCTCTCGTGTGAATAAATATTGGTTTAAATGTTTTTTCGCCACGGGTTTTTCTGGGTTTGCTGGATGGGAACAGTGTGTTAAATATTAAAGTTAAGGGGGAGGAAACATTATGTTTAATTTTAGAATATGTAGAACTTAACTTTTAAGTTATTAAACAACTTTTATACGAATATTTACATAAGTATATAGCTTACTTAAGCATTTAATCAGGTTAATCTTGATATATTACTATATAACTTCCGAATTACTTACTGTTCCAGGCTATGCCATTACCGTATTCCCACCTGCTTGTCTTTCAATCAAATTTGAATATAATTTGTTAACAATTAAAATGCAATCGTGTGATGTTTTATTGGGTAGCAATAAAATAATTAAATTAATTATGCATTTATTATTCATCAAGTATTGATAAATAGGCTTGCCGGCGAAGGCGAATTCTCCACGGCAGCCGCCTGTTTTTATCTCGGATGTCAAATCGATTGTCGCCGCAATTAATTACGCGTATATAATTACAATGCCTGCCTACGCTGACGCCAACGTCTGACGCCCAGTCTCCCCCTGCCCCCAGTCTCTTTTCTCTCTCACCCAATCCCCAAGATTGGAGGTTTCATTCCTAGTAGGGCGATCGCTGGATCGCTGGATCCGAGTGACTGGTGACTGGGCCCCTCGTCCGTTTATTAATTAGGCCCGGCTACGCCTTCAGGTAGCCGCAGGTGGCGCTGCATGCAAAACGCACCGCGCCGGAAAGTGCAATGCGTTAATCAAAACGTAATCAAATCATTTGGCAAGCGGCAAACAGCCTGAAAAGAGTCCAAAAACAGGGCTTAAAGTGCACAGGGAGAAAATTGGGTCAATATCTTGATGTTTTAAGTGGAAAATAAGAGCAAGAACATGTTTTTAAACTGTTTTAAAATGATTTAAGTTAGTTGGGGAATGACTATCTAGAAGTAGGAATAAAGTTAAATATTTCTGAGTACCTTAGAAGTTTTTAAAAATTTGTATTATTTATAATCATAATTCCCTGTCAAACATATTTATAATAATATTTATTACCCAATAAGTTAATTAAGTTTTTCTCGAGTGTGGTCAGCATCAGGAAAATGAGCTGCATCGGCAGCACAATCACAGCCTGGTCACATTGGTAGCCTGCTGCGATTTTGGCCGAGTCCGGCAATTAAGCTTTATATCGGGCCTAATGGACCGAGCGCCGCCTGCGCTGATTGCGGGCATTTGTTTGGCGTCGTCGTCGTCTCCTTCTCCCTCTCTTTCACCTTCTCTTTCCCTTGCTGGTTCTGCGTCTCTTTCTCATTCTGTCTTAATGTCCCACTGCTCAGGGCCCAATCAAACGTGTGTATATATAGTAAGTCTGTATATATAAATAAATATATATCGCCCCCAACCGAAATCACAGCTTGATATTAACGCCCAACTGTGAGGCGGCGCATTTACAATGATAATATTTGTGTTCAAAGTTATCAATGGGCCAGCCGCCAGCCGCCAACGGGACTCAGAATGGGAATCGATCGAGCTTGTAGGAAGGGGCAAGCGGTAAGGGGAGCCCCCAATTGGGGCAGAGCAGTTGAGAGATCTGCTTACAACTTGATTTCAGTTGTTTTCTGCTTAATTGATTAACTACAGATTGAGCTTGATTAACTACAGGGTAATGTTAGAGAGGGGTTACGTTCTACACTGGGGGAAAACATGGCAAATTTTAGCTTCATTTTTGTAACAAACTAACTAATGGTAATAGATATACCCTAATCACACTTTCAGATAGATATCAAGTGTTGAAGACTCACATCTTGCAAACTGAACTTAACTAGCACCCTCTGGGAGTGCAAAGCCAAGCATAACATTTTTTAATTAACACCCACACACGGACACATGCAAATGAGCTCATTATGGGCTGATTATGCAAGATACACTGGATAATGGATACCAGATACTGGAGGGAGTAGTGGAAAAACTTCCCCAGCCAAGAGTTTTTCCAGCCCGACACCAACATCTTCATCAACCGCCAGCAAGTTCAACAAACGAAGATTGCCCATATATAAAGATATACACATTCATAGAAGATTCATTCATAAAGTCAAGTGAATTGGAAATCCGTTTGCTTAACCCGCTTTTCTCGCAGGGAATATATGGCCGTAAAGGCTCCTCAGCAGACGGCATGGCGATCCATTAACTCGAATGCAGAGCACTCACAATTACCGCGAATAAATTGAGGTAATTAGGTAATAAAAATAATGTTTTCACCTCGTTATGCGAGGCGGCAGCAGCTGCTCTCCATAATTCCCAGAATCGTTGCAACCACCTGATAGGAGGCAAGAACACTGAGCTGCAAGTGCCTCAGTCTGCCCTAGTACTTAATCATCTGTCTTCGGGACATCTGGAGCAGATAGGGAGGCACTTAGTCGAGTGATAGGAAAATCAACAGAGCTCTCTGGGAAATTGTAAGGGATTTTATTCGCAATTTAACATACTCACATCACAATATTAGATTTTATTATATTTCAATATTTTTATATGCCCTAAAAAGAGCATTTCGAATTCAGTTTTTTTCAGTAAAAGTTCCTCAGACCAAACAGCCACTTTCCTCAACTTCATTTATGCAAATGATTCATTTTCCACGGAATTCCCTGGCCGTCAATTAAATTTCTGTGCCTCTTTCCACTTTGTTCGCACTTCGGGGCAGCCAAAATAAAAAAACGAAAAATAAAAACAATTTCATATCCATTTACTTTCCACTTAAGCCGAATTTCCCTTTTGGGGTTACGGACTTGCGGGTCAGGTGAGTGAGTTAGTTACATTTTGTGGGTTTTATGGCTCGGGCTAAGCACTCTTAATTGGTAATTACCATTTGAATTTCATAGTGTCTGAGTAATGGAAAATAGCCGTAATAATTTCCTCGCTTATGCTACCTTTTAAGGTGAAAGATCAGCGAACAGCGATCAGCGGCTGCTCCCACACAGTCAAGGGTATTAATTTTTTGGTCAACTGCAGGCATTCCTGGAACTGGGCTGCGGAGTTGTAGAATGCAATTAAACAAAATAGCGTGAGATACGCGGCCGATAAAGCTGAAGGAGCCAGGGAAACATTGTCGTGTCTGAAACCTAATTTCCAAGTTTAGAATTCTGCGAAAACGCTCCAAGAACTCCCTCCTTCCATCATCATCATCATCAGCAGCACCTCTCCGTTCATGGAGCCTACGTTTTTGAATACTCAATTAAATTTTTGTGCCCGCTGCTGTGTGTGTGTGTGTTTTTTTTGCTCAGTTCAGTTTCGCACAATTTTCAATTGAATTAAATGCAGTGCTGCCTCTTGCAGTTTCATGCGAACAATTTCAAGGAATCGCGCATATCAAGCGCGTCGTCGTCTACGTCGGCACGCTCCGTTTGGGCGCACAATTAATTTGCGCCCCAAAAACCGAACGCACGTACTCGCGGCGGAACAAGTACGGTATCTGTATCTGCGAGATACATTAGCGAAAGTGTAGGTCGTCGCCAGCAGATACAATTTAATTTCAAATGCCCTTTCGGTGGAGGATTACTCTGCGATTCATGAATGCAAAGCAACTTAAAGGTATCCCTGAAGTAGTTTTTCCCCTTTTCATTGATTAGAAATAAGATTTTAGTTTGCAAATTTTGGATATGATTTG